CTGTCACAAACTCATCTAACCCACTGCTACTACAACCCCCACCCAAACCAAACCCAGAATTATCCTTCAACCGTTTATCTCCTGATGCATTACAAAAACGCCCATCTGAATTCTTATTAATAGCCGACGATGATGATTCCCATGATATTAATGACACCCGATCTGACATCACTCATACCCACGAGATACATAGGCCGGAGGGAGTGGTGCCGCAACCGTAGGGACCAATCAGAGGGAGGTAAGAAAAAATAATTACAATCCAAAAGTGGTCCACTCCAAACTCCTTCACAACCCTTAGTACATTTTTGGGCTTAACAAGTTTTTATAGGTTTGTCCGTAATTAGATTCAAATCGCAGCTCCTCTACCCGTAATTACATTGAACTTCACTCCCAACTTAGCCTTCGAACAACACAACACAAACAAACAATGGAATTGCTCATAACGCTAGCTTGTCCAGACTTCACAAAGCCCTTCGATATCACCACTAATGCTTCCAGAACCACTATTGGCTCAGTTTTATGCCAGAATGATAAGCTAATTGCATTCTTTATTACAGACCCGTCCCACAGGGTGGACGATAAGGGAGACCGTCCATGTCTAAATACTTGTAATGTTAGTCATCTCCGATAGCTATTTCATGATCCTAGTTTTTAGATAGTTGCTGCATTTTCCCTTTTAAATTACAATGTAAGTTTGCATTGGAAAAGAAGCAGAAAATTGTCCCAAATCCTTTTCTTCTTTGTGTTCTTATTGAGGAATTGCCATCTCGAATTGGCTATACCAATTAATGTCCTCATTCAAGTTTCAACACACAATGAAATAGGGAAAAGAAATGGAAACTAACCGATTCCATAGCTGAGTCTAACAACAGCACGAGTTTTGTTTCAAACCGGAAACTCGGCATCTGGGAATGTGTGGTTAAATGTAGTGACCTCCATTGCAGAACTTGTACAGATAGCTCACAGAAGGTGGAAGTGATCAATGGCAAAAGTACTACATGTAAAAGCACAGATGCAAAGCTGAGGAAGAAGAAGAGAACAGCAGTGCGGACAATCTCTACAAACAGACATCAAACATAAGGATAGACATTGCTGCTAGACAGCTAGTCGTAGTAGATTTCTTTTGAGCTAAGATAGTGGCTATGTTTTGAGCTAAGATAGTGGCTATGGAGATCTGAGCTAACTTGTGTGCGTTTTATGTATCTAAATTGGTTTATGAATATCAACAGTTTCCTCAATCTAGTAAGAGTAGCATAAGGCCAGTTGCTTTTATTATTAAATAAATCATTTGATTGTCCAGAGTCAAAGTGCCAAACTTCCCTATTTCTATGTAGCACCATGTTTCTTTGTTGTCCATTAATTGTTGTGCAAATAAAGTAATTGAGAAGGAAAAACTAAGATGGCGTAAATTTGTAAAATGTTTGGACCTAATTGGGAAAGCCTTATTTCCTTAACTTTTTCAATTATGTTGTTCTCTTGCATCAACTCAAAAAGAAACATAACTAGCTTAGCATATGAAGTCATGACCCCATTATGTAAAAAAGAAACAACACCAAACTTTGTTCTTTATCTCTCATTGTCTTGTTAAGAGAGGAATTAAGTTTAACTTTTTTCATCAATAACTACTGTTATCACTCTTATCCAACCACTATTATGTTTATCAATAATTTCATTGAAATATGAGTTCATCTCTTTATTTGTCAAAATATGGATTCGTATTATATTTCTACTACATTTTGTTTTTAGTTCCACTTCTGAAACTACCTGCAAATCCCGTGGAGCATCCCTTATTTCAGACAATGCCTACTGAATTGGTGGACTTTAAGGTGGATATTACTTGACATATACTTTACCTTTATGTTAATCTTTGTTAGAAGTTATCTTATTTAACACTATCAGGCAATGATATCCTTCCGGAAACCACTCAAATATACCTCCGAGGAACTGCTAAATGAAGAAAACTTTTACTTAACCATTGAGGTAACTTAAACCATGTTTCTTTTGTCTCATTGGATGTTGACCGGATAAAGTTTAATATGAATATATGATGCTTAAAAGATATCTATGAAATTAACTACATACTTTGGAATATGGAAAACAAGAGCAAATTGGTAATACCAATATATGATGCATAAAGTTTAATATGTGAAACTTAATATTTTATTAAAATTAGGAAGGAGACCAAGGGCTACTGCATGTGCTCATTTTGAGCATGAAAGAAAGAACACAATCGAAAAGACCAGTCGTTGTTTATCTGCATCCAACAAATGCAAACATAGAGCATCTACGCCCTTTACTTGAGGTATAATATAAAATTACAAGGGTAGACTGGTCATTTCTTCATTTGACAAAAGACTTTCATCTAACGATTTCTTCCTTTCAATTCAGGATTATGCTTCACGTGGATATATTGCAATTGCCATTGATTCTCGTTACCATGGAGAACGTGCCAAAATGAAACAAACAATTTTCGTAATTTGCTCGATGCATATCCTAAAGTACAAATTATTGAATGGTCTATGTGGTTTTCAAAAATTTCACATTTGGTCCCTATGTTTTCGTTCGCACTCGAATGGTCCCTAGGTTTTGGTTTTTATTGTGTTTTTCATCCCCTAGTAGAGATGAAAAGACCACATTGTCCTTTGACTTTATCTGTTTTAGCTTTTTTTTATTATCATTTGTTTATTATTAATGAATATAAATGATTAAATAACCTTAAAATGGAACCCACCCAAAACCCTACACCCCACACTTGTCATGTACTTCTTTCTCATTTTAATTCACCGCCACTTCTGAAGCCCTCCCACAGGAGGAAGCTTCGTCAGACAAATAAAAAACAATCAGCACCACCACCATCCTTGTCTCTTATGTTTCCGAAAACACCTCGATCCTCCCTTGAAAACATTTATCCCTTCGTTTCCTGAAAACAGGTACTAAAAACCAAAAGCTTCTAGATCTCCTGCCATCATTTCCATGAAGCTACCACTATCATAGTACCATGAAACAATGACAACCGGGATCCACTATGGTGCCAGGAAGCTAACCCTGCCATAGTGACAAGAAAGGAGGAAGACAAGTAAAGTGAACCACCAACACCCCTAAACCCTTTACAAAACTGATAACGGAGAGGATGAGCGAGGAAGGATAGATGAAATCAATGGCGAAGAGGGAAGAGCAAGGGGGAGCAGATGCAGTCGATGGTCGGATGTCCACAAGGGGTGTCGAGAAGAAGAGAAGCGACTCATGAACCAGATCTCCATCCCTCACTACTTCATATCTCCTTCCAACAATGACAAATGTTGGTTGCAGGATGCTTCTTGTGGCGTCCATTGATGAAGATCGGTGGTTGATGGAGCAAATCAATAAATTTAGAGTTTAGATTAGTGGTGTCTTGTGGTTTCCTTGTGCGTCTGGTGTTTTCTGTAGTGTTTGGTGTTTTTCGACAGTGGCCGGTGGTTTGCAACGCAGATGAATTGAAACGAGAGAGGACATAAGGGGTGTAGGGTTTTTGGGTGGGACCAATTTCAAGTTTATTTAATAATTTATATTATTTAATAATAAACTAATAATATAAAAAATGAAATTTTTTTAAGATAAAGGGCGATATAGTCTTTTTTAGCTCTATGAGGGATGAAAAACACAATAAAATCAATACTTAGGGACCGCCCAAGTGCAAAAGAAAACATAGGAACCAAACGTGAAATTTTTGCGAACGACAGGACCATTTCAGTAATTTGTTCTCTCTATTCACACTCTCTTAGGTAAAATACAACCACCACATATCCGAGGTGTTCCATCACTCTCACCTGCTCTCATATCGCAATTACTCTACTATACATATAAACACAACATATTATCTTAATGTGTTCATGTCACCATTACTTGTCCAAATTTTGAAAGATGGAGCCCGTCGAATCAGCAGCCAACCTCTGTTCATAATACGTTGAAGTTCTTCGTAGTCGCCGTTGTCCTTCATGTAAGCTTCTTTCATAGATTTGGTCAATTTTAATGTTGATTTGTTGCGAATCTTTAGGCTCATATCATGCTCTCCTCTACTCTCATACGATGCAATATACAAAAATAAGGAGTTGTTCTAGGATGGACATTGCAGCTAGATTGCCAGTAGTAGTATAAGATTTCTTTTTAGCAAAAATAGTGGCTATGGAGATCCGAGCTTAATCTGTGCGTTTTATGTATCTAGATATGTTTATGAATATCGACAATTTCCTCAATCTAGTAAGCAAAAAAACTAAGATGGTGTAAATTTGTATATGAGTTTTGTTTCTTCGGTTTAAACTTTATTTGGCTGGGCTGCCACTTGATTTCAAAATATTTTTTTCGTCATAATTCTAATTAATAGGTATATAATATTATAAGTTTCTCTACTTAAGTTACAAAAAGTTGTTTAAACTAGAAGATACTTCATCTGGCATCCATACCTTGATCGAAATATCTACAAAAAATTGTTTCGAGGTGTAATATTATCAAATGCAGGTTCAGTTACATCCTAATCCTAACACCCTAGTAGATCCCGGTGTCAATTTCAAAAAAGAACACATCAAAACAAAGTATGTACCTTGAAATAGCGCTACTGGTACAAACCAGCCATAAACCTTCAATAACCTGACACCATTGCATATGACACTCAAGATATTGCATATGACACTCAAGATTTTTATTTATAAAATAAGAAACAAAAAATATAATTTAATTTTTGTTACAAACAAAGTTTCTTGCATAAATACAAGAAAGAAACATTACAGTTTGTAAAATTGGAGATTTTTTTGATAAAAAGCATATGATGGTTTATTTGCACTTACACTTTAATCCTTTTGTTACAATATTCAGGGATGAACTTCAACCTTTTTTTACGGTCAATTATCTAATTCTTATGCTTAATGATCTTGGTACTTCCACATTAGGGTAGGAATCAATAATCTAGTTTTTAGATGCAATCATCTCTTGTTTTGGTTTTACACCAATTTTGAGTTAATGTGCGGATGGATTTTGTAGAACATATGTTTAACAGGCCAGAGTTGAACAATATGTTTACCAAAAACAAAAGGTATGTATGAAATTTTCACCTTTGTTAGAAAGCAAGATGCAATCACGAAGAACAACAAACTATTAATCTCCATTGATGGATGTTCGTTGGAGATATCAAAAATCAAAACCCCATCATGAATCACCATAGAATCGACTATTAGATGAAGTACCACCATTAATGATACTATCATAGCCCAACCCAACAACAATGGGGTTCATCTTGCTACTCCAAAAGCTGCAACCAGGCCAAAAATAACAATCAAAATACCCATCCGTTTTAAGGATTAAAGGAACAACTAATGAAAGTTGACTGAGTCTATGGCCCCACTGTCACAAACTCATCTAACCCACCGCTACTACAACCCCCACCCAAACCAAACCCGGAATTATCCTTCAACCGTTTATCTCCTGATGCATTACAAAAACGCCCATCTGAATTCTTATTAATAGCCGACAATGATGATTCCCATGATATTAATGACACCCAATCTGACATCACTCATACCCACGAGATACTTAGGCCGGAGGGAGTGGTGCCGCACTCCCTCGTGAAACCGTAGGAACCAATCAGAGGGAGGTAAGAAAAAATAATTACAATCCAAAAGTGGCCCACTCCAGACTTCACAAAGCCCTTCGATATCACACTAATGCTTCCAAAACCACTATTGGCTCAATTTTATGCCAGAATCATAAGCTAATTGCATTCTTTATTACAGACCCGTCCCACAGGGCGGGCGATAAGGGAGACCGTCCATGGCTAATCTTTTAAATGGCCCAAAAAATTTATACACTCTATTAATGGTAAGTTAGACAAGGTCAATTTTGAAGATATTATTAATGATTTTTCATCTCAAAATACTAGAAGATATATTTTTCTTTAATTATATAAATATTTGTAATTGAAAATGTTATATTTAGGAGGTAGTATAAGTATTTTTCTTTCAATTATTAAATTATTATAAAAGCAGTGGATGCAATTTGTGTAGTTTAAGGGCCTTTTTTTCCTTTTGCCCTGAGCCCAAAATATATTTGGAACGGCCTTGCTTTAGTAAAAAACAATGCAACCGAATGCAAGCCAACTCTACATATGTCCGGGAGCTTTATGCGATCACCGATTCTGTCAAAAAATGTTGGGATGCAAATTTTGTCTGTTCACAGATCACCACAGCTTGAAATATTTTCTCACCCAAACGATTCAAACACCTGAACAACATAAGTGGATCACTAAGCTCTTGGGTTATGAATTCAAGCTCCACTATGAATCGAGTCGGGAAAACAAAGTGGCTGATGCCCTTATCCAAAAACATCATTCCATTCCTCTACGATTGCCACCGTCTTCTCCTCCATTACCATCTAATTGCATTCATGTTTCCCTTTTGCTTAGGCATGTAATGTTAGTCATCTCCGATAGCTATTTCATGATCCTAGTTTTTAGATAGTTGTTGCATTTTCCCTTTTAAATTACAATGTAAGTTTGCATTGGAAAAGAAGCAGAAAATTGTCCCAAATCCTTTTCTTCTTTGTGTTCTTATTGAGGAATTGCCATCTCGAATTGGGTATACCAATTAATATCCTCATTCAAGTTTCAACACACAATGAAATAGGGAAAAGAAATGGAAACTAACCGATTCCATAGCTGAGTCCATTGCAGAATTTGTTTCAAACCGGAAACTCAGCATCTGGGAATGTGTGGTTAAATGTAGTGACCTCCATTGCAGAATTTGTACAGATAGGTCACAGAAAGTGGCAGTGATCAATGGCAAAAGTATTACATGTAAAAGCGCAGATGCAAAGCTGAGGAAGAAGAAGAGTACAGCAGTGAGGACAATCTCTACAAACAGACATCAGACATAAGGATAGACATTGCTGCTAGACAGCTAGTCGTAGTAGATTTCTTTTGAGCTAAGATAGTGGCTATGGAGATCCGAGCTAACTTGTGTGCGTTTTATGTATCTAAATTGGTTTATGAATATCAACAGTTTCCTCAATCTAGTAAGAGTAGCATACGGCCAGTTGCTTTTATTATAAAATAAATCATTTGATTGTCCAGAGTCAAAGTGCCAGACTTCTCTGTTTCTATGTAGCACCATGTTTCTTTGTTGTCCATTAATTGTTGTCTAAATAAAGTAATTGAGAAAGAAAAACTAAGATGGCGTAAATTTGTAAAATGTTAGGACCTAATTGGGAAAGCCTCATTTCCTTAACTTTTTCAATTAAGTTGTTCTCTTGCATCTACTCAAAAAGAAACATAACTAGCTTAGCATAGTAAGTCATGACCCCATTATGTAAAAAAGAAACAACACCAAACTTTGTTCTTTATCTCTCATTGTCTTGTTAAGAGAGGAATTAAGTTTAACTTTTTTCATCAATAACTACTGTTATCACTCTTATCCAACCACTATTATGTTTATCAATAATTTCTTTGAAATTTGAGTTCATCTCTTTATTTGTCAAAATCTGGATTCATATTATATTTCTGCTACATTTTTTTTTTCAGTTCCACTTCAGACACTACCTGCAAAGCCCGTGGAGCATCCCTTATTTCAGAAACCACCTCCTGAATTGCCGGACTTTAAGGTGGATATTACCTGACATATACTTTACCTTTCTGTTAATCTTTGTTAGAAATTATCTTATCTGAACACACTATCAGGCACTGTTATCCTACCGGAAACGACGCATGGAACCAGGGGCGGAACACAAAAACCATAACCAAACCAAGGGGGCCGGAACAAAAAATATATAGTAAAATTTATATAAACCAGTTTAATTACACTCGTCAAATTGGGTACCTCCTTCTAGTGTACTATTATATTATACTCATTTTAACAGCAACATATAAAAAAGTGACCACAAAAAATCGTTTTTTTTTTCTTAAAGGACGAACAAATTGCAAAAGAGTCTGCCTTTGATGGACTCTAAATTTTGTTCATATTTTTTTTGGTTTGTAACCTTGGATTTTTTTTTCTAAAACTTTGATATAATTTTTTAAAGTACACACTTATAAATGTATATAAGCTTTAAACTATGCCTTTGATTTCAAAATGTTATACTTTGTGCTTTTATTAAGTTAATTAATTAGTCTTTTTTGTAACTTTTAACATATTTACGCATTGATTAAAATATATAATAATAATAAAGTTAAATTATAACTTGTTCGAACAATTTCTTGATGTATAATATAACACACTATTTATTTGATTAATGTAACTTTTTCACATTTTAATTATATAATTTATTTAATTAATATATTTTCTATGATTTAAAAAAGGGTATTATAATAATAATAATAATAACAAATATAGCTTTTAAATGTTAAATTAAAAGATATTGAAAAAAAAAGCTGACAGCTAACATATATTGCGCAGTGTACAAACCCATCATGAAATGTCATATATATCTTCTCTTAAAATTTCTTATTTCTGAATATATAAACCCTAAAACACTATAATAAGAAGATACAAAATGAAAGACAAAAAGACTTACAACTAATCGAGAGTTTGAGACTGTAGAGATGAGATGAAGATGTGATAATCTGGAAGTCCTCAAGCGCTCGGAGCTGTGGAAGTCGGAGAAGTACTCCAGACAGAGAGATTGAGAGATCGAGCGGTGACAGTGATTCAACGACTTAGGAGCAAGAGAAGAAACCAACTGTGACGGTGAGGATGCGAATAAGGAGGCGAAGACATGGTTAAGAGCTATAGGTTTTTGGTTTTAATTTTGAGACATTTTTTATTTCTTTCTTTACCTCGTAGGTTATTAAATAGTTCTAAATTTCAAAATTTATCTTTGGTACAATATCCCCATTTCCTTCAAAATAGGTATTTAGGTATTTTGAGTGTAGTTTTTATTTTAGTGGCTTCCGATTCTCTTAAATTTCTCAAATATATGCCCTTTGGGATTAACTTGGAAATAATTTCAATGTTTCATCCATTATTAAAAAAAACTGGAGGGGCGGATTTGTTTTTATTTTCCTGGAAATATAGTATACATTTGTTGTTTGTATAATATTTTGTATTTAGAAGATAAAAAACCAGGGGGGCCATGGCCTCCCCTGACCCCTTCTTAGCTCCGCCACTGCATGGAACCAATCATGTATACCTTCGAGGAACCGCTAAATGAAGAAAACTATTACTTAACCATTGAGGTAACTTATACCATGTTTCTTTTGTCTCATTGGATATTGACCGGATAAAGTTTAATATGAATATATGATGCTTAAAAGATATCTAAGAAAATAACTACATACTTTGGAATATGGAAAACAAGAGCAAATTGGTAATACCAATATATGATGCATAAAGTTTAATATGTGAAACTTATTATTTTATTTAAATTAGGAAGGAGATCAAGGGTTACTGCCTGTGCTCATTTTGAGCAAGAAACAAAGAACACAATCGAAAAGACCAGCTGTTGTTTATCTGCATCCATCAAATGCAAACAAAGAGTATCTACGCGATTTATAATATAAAATTACAAGGGTAGACTGGTCATTTCTTCATTTGACAAAAGACTTTCATCTAACGAGTTCTTCCTTTCAATTCAGGATTATGCTTCACGTAGATATATTGCAATTGCCATTGATGCTCGTTACCATGGAGAACGTGCCAAAACCCCCAACACCTATCAAGAAGTGAGCACCAAAACATTTCTTTAGTTTTTTGGGTTTATGCCAAAAAAGAATATGGCTAAATGCAAGAACATAAGAAATAGCAACATACTTTCATATACTTATTTATTATAGCATCCTACATTGAAAAAAATCTATCCAGTTATAGCAATGTGATTCACATAGAAGCCAATTTTTCGTTGCTATAGTTGAGTAGATATTTGAGAGTACAATGGATAATATACAAATCATCTTTCATGATCTCAAAGCATAAATATAACCTCTATTTCATATATTCTGGATCTAGGCTCTTGTTTCATCATGGATAAGAGGTGATACAATGCCATTTATATTTGACACGGTTATACTTCTTCACTATTGAATTTTTCAAATGACATTCATTATGTACTTTTAATGCCCAAATGTTTAACATTTATTATGTTTTAGGTGTGGGACCTTATAAAGTTGGCAGATTATCTAACTGACAGAGATGATATACACCATTCCAAGATAGGAATAACTGGGAATTCGCTTGGAGGTTGAATTTTAATATTTTATTAAACACATCATCTTGAAATAACATGAGTATATATATATATATATATATATATATATATATATATATATATATATATATATATATATATATATATTCTTTTGTTATGAGTTATTATGCCTTTAATTCCATAACTCATTTCTGATATGTGATGCAGGAATGCATGCATGGTTTGCTGCTTTTATTGATAGACGTTATTCAGTTGCTGCCCCTGTAATTGCTGTTCAGGTATTGTTTATTTTTGACTTAATGGGCATAATTTAACACTTAATCTAACCTACTAACATAATATGAATGTGTAGGGCTTTCGGTGGGCCATAGATAATGATCAATGGCAAGCTCGAGTTGACAGTATGTGGCCTGTGTTTGAAGGTAATTAAAACATGTAACTTTACAAAAGAAATATAAAATATTTACTTTTTATATGTTATTATTTCTATGTTTAATAAAACATGTAACTTAAGTTATATATCGGTGTTTAACGACTTCGAACTATAAATTTGTACAAATTTCTCTCATTTATTTCCTCAAATATATTTATAAAAATTGTTTAAAAGTTCTCTTAAAATGTGTGTGTGTGTATATATATATATATATATATATATATATATATATATATATATATATATTGTTTTAAAAATCTTACAGCTATAGCTAGCACATGCACTCTTTCTAAATTATAATTTTTTTTGCATGATTTTGTGATGGCGCATTTATATTCTTTTTATTCAGTAGCAAGGATTGATTTAGGGAAGGTAGCCATTGACAAAGAGGTTGTGGAAAAGGTATGTTCCATAAAAATTGCTAAATGTTTTGCTGACGTGGCATTCTGATGGCATCTAACTGTTGTTGTTCTGCTATTATTTTGACCAGGTTTGGAAAAGAATAGCTCCTGGTTTAGCATCTGAGTTTGACTCACCTTATACGGTGCCACTCATTGCACCACGCCCTTTGTTCATTATGAATGGTGAAATGACCGATCCTCTCTCCTATTCTTGATCCATTTTTTTCTGATGAAATAATAACATGGAAAAAACTATCAGGTCAAGATGATCCCCGTTGCCCAATCAATGGTATTGATGGTACCATATGTAAAACATATAAAGCCTTCGAAGATGCCCAATGTTTGAATCATTTCCAGGTCTTGACTTTTGACTCTTCACTTTTCACCAATGTTTCTTGCTTTTTCTAAACGAGCAAATTGCATGGAATAGCTACGTACTTTACTACCAGAGAATATTAGTATGTTGCTATTATGGGTAATAAATTGAGTAGATTGTCTACATTGGTAAAAAAAAGTTAAGTATAATGTTATATGATGTAATATTGTGTTGTATATGAGGTAATAATGTGATTTATTGTTAATGAAATTTAGGTGCATATCGAACCAGGAATTCGACATGAAGTGACACCATCAATGCTTAACGAAGTGAGTGATTGGATTGACAAGTTTTTAAAAGCATAGAAATTTCTCATGCATAGCTATGTACCTTATGCTCGACTGAATATTGTTGTATGTTGCAAAAGTATATGTATATCACCTTCCAATAAATGAAAGTTATTCCAAATTTGATTATGCATTTTTAATTTTTTTTTATTATAAATGTGAGGGTGAAATCTAACTATGTGTCTCAAGATTTGTGTTGTGAATTTGAATGACATAGTTGTTGGTTGTTCCGTCTCTGAAGTGGCAAGCATTTTAGAAACAATATTCTTATAACTATGATTAATCATTTAGAAGCTATATCCTTATAAGTGTGATTTATCATTCTTCGAATCATGGTTTTGTACATTCTTAATAACATAAAAAAAAAATACTTAGGGGCTATTTGATATTTGTTGATTGAGTCAAATTTGATAGAGTTAGGGTCTGACTAGGTTAAACGCATGTCTCTGACTGAAACAATATTGTTTGATTATACATCTGACTATGCTGATTGCTGAAAATAATTATTTTACCCTTCTGTTATGACTAACACACATGTTAGTGACATATCATCCATGGATTTTTCGGTAAATAAATTAATTGTTTTTAAAATTATTATTAATATTATTGTTATTGTAAAATTATATAAACTCAAAATTATAAATACTTTATAATATTCAGGCTTTATTCATGTTCTATGATCGTGTTCCTGTTCATGAACATCCTTCAACCACTACCATCGTTCACTATTGAGCACCATGATGGAACAAGAAGAAAAATTAAAAGTGAAATCGACAGATTACAGATTTTATTTAATCGCAAATCTCAGATTTGCAAGTTTGATGCCATAGGTCCATAGTTAATAAAAGAATTGTGATATTACGAGCATTATTGAACCAGAATCTGCACATGAGCACAAACTTCTTGCTGATGACCAAGTGATCTTCAATCTACGAAAATATGATGAAACTTTTCCTCTCTTTGAGGATTCCCATTCACCATCAAATGCACCAGAACTTACTCATATCCCAGAACCTTCACATAAACATCATCACAAGCATGAGCATGAAAAACACCCTCACAAGGATGAGCATGGAGAAGTACCAACATAGAGAAGCATAAAGAAGTACCAACATGGATCAGATTTCATACATACATAAGATTTCTACCAACATGGAGAAGAACGTGGAAATTCTTCAGATTTCTACCCCACTTGGAGAAAAAAAAAAAAAAAAGAGAAATTCATATATAATCTTATTTCACGTATACATACATAATCTGATTTCACAAACAAATAAATTCATCTGATTTTGTTCAGGCATTTTATCAAATAGTTAACGTGCATACCAAAACATTACACTTTGATGCTTCAAACTTGTACATAAAATCATATACAGCTCCAAAGTAGATGATATGAAGATGAGAACAACATCTATAAGATAATACATGGCAGAAAAATCGAAAAAATAAATATATACCTGGAAAAAAATAAAATAAAAAAGGAGGAAAAAGATGGGGTTTTTCTTACTGCTGGAAGGAGGCCGGAGCTTAGGTGAGGCGACCAAGGCGTTGGTCGGAGGTGAGAGGAACCGACATAGATGTCGGAGGTGGTAGGAGTTGTGGAAGAAATTGCGACTGGGATAAGGAGAGAAAGAAATCACGTCAAGGCTATGAGAACGAGAGGGTAAATCTAGGCAATATTATCTCAGTCAGCGTTTTTTTCATCTATTGTTTTAAATAGTCACTGATCTTTTTTAACGCATTCTAAATCCCTAAACTAACAAATAATCTGTTACCAATGAAGCCCAACCCAGCTGGGGAAGAGGTGTAGGGTTTATACCCATTGAGCGGCAGAGGTGGGGAGTTTGACTCGTATTCGTGGCCACTCGTGGGGAATTTTTCTTGGAAATTTCAAAAAAAAAGTGAGGGTTTGCGTTGTAAAGAAGCTCGAACCAGGGTTTTGCTGTAAAACACAAAAGGGGCTTCCACTTGGATATTGGTCGTTTCGAAAAAAAAAAAAACAAATAATCTATTAAAGCAATTCGCAACCTAGATTTGGTTTCTTCTTCATGCCCCTCTTCTTCTTCTTCACCATTCATTTTCCTCACGACTCAAAAATTCTTCGAAACCACTGGCTTTGAATCTGCCACCAAGCTTCTCCATGTTCTAAATTGTGGTTGCAACCGATAACATCTTAATATATGTTTTTCATCTTCAAATTGTGGTATGTAATTACTGCGAGAATGTGAAGGTACCAACAATGTCAATGGGTTCTTGATCAAGGCCGTAAAGCTGAAACCAGAAGGTAGGAAAACTCATATTGCTTTGCTCTAAAGACAGACTACCATTTAGTCGAAGCAATAAAGCATCAATGAAAAGTCCAGTTATGTGTTTTGATGAAGACAGTCTTGAGAAGAACATAAGATTTTATTTGACCTGGATGGTGTTTTGATGAAGACAGTCTTGAGAAGGCATGTGATTTTGGTCCAATGATGATGTTAATTTGTTCTTGTGGTGAGCTAATGTAGTTTCCTTTGGTTTTGTTTCAAGAAAAAAAATAAGAACCAAACCAAACTTTGTTCTAAAGTAAGAGGCAATGATGAGTTATCAAACGCACTGACCTTGACCAGACGTTAACAACCGGACCAGTAACAGGTCTAATGTCATTCTAACCAAACCAACTTTCATCTATTGTTTTGAATCGTCACTAATCTTCTTTTAGGCATTCTTTTATGTTTTTTTAAGCAAAATGGTTGTTTTTGATATACATGCCAATCATTCTATATTGTTTTTAAAATTTTTACCGTGGTTTTTGTTGTTGCTATTACGATAATTACAACCATCCAGCTATGTTGTATACTCTTGTGATTTTTTTTAATTACTTCTTTTAATTTAATTTTTCAAAGAATCAATATTTGTAATAATTAAATGGTTGGATTTATTTTAATTACTCATTTCAGTTGAATTTTTCATAACATATATGTTGCTAAAGAGTTGTTGTTTTTCTGAATAATTGTTGGATCGAGTTGAATATTATAACAATTAAAGAGTGTAATAAAAGCATCTCTTCTTACCAGCATAGCAACATACTTACAGCTAATTCCAAAATAGCAATTTATTGTAATTGTCATTGATTTTTGTTTGTTTTTCAAAGTTTTTTTTTATAGTAGTTTATACCGTTTTAAAATAAAGTCAGTTTGACCCATAAAAGCATCATACTTATGGCTCTTTACCGATAATAACAATGCAAGAAAAAATTACAGAAATGGTCCACGTGGAAAAAAAATTACATTATTGGTCTTTGTGGTGGAAAATAACTATATAATTGGTCTCTAGGTTGAAAAAGATTACGTAATTGGACCCTCACTCCGTAACGCAGAAAAAAATTATACTAATATATCATGTGCCAAGAAAAATATTACATAACTGGTTACTAATGGTGGGATTTTTTTTTTGCTATTTAAAAAATGAAGTATGTTGTTATAACTATTATTAGTAGATTTGTTATAGTACAATGTTATAATGATGAAACATTGACCGGTCGTTGTCATTAATGAAATTCAAGGGAAAACATTATCAAATGTTGGATATCCTACTTGTATAGGCTCGTCTTCACTCATGGTCAGTTATATGTCGTTTATCACGTCACAAGTAAAAAAGAATTCAAGGTACTAATATGTGACAATGATTGTTTTCCATTTAATAAAACAAAAAATAGTGTTTACAATGAGGTCCCACAATGGTTATAGATATTCAAGCATCTTATTGTTTTTTTTTTTTTCAAACATTTCAATTTTACCAATAACATTAAATATGTTTCTATTTATTTATCTTTTTTTATTTTATTATTATTGTACCTACTTTTTAAAAAAAATCAGGATTTTGCATTAACTGAATTGCTCTTCCAATTTAGCCTCTATTATCATGCCAAATATAGAGATTGGAACTTGAAAATCAAATTCATTTCTTATTTTCATATATATGGAATTGAAAAGGAAGTTGAATTAAATTATCGTGGATAATCTAAACTTCTCACAGTAACATTGTTGTACAATGTAATTGTTATCTTTTTTATTGAACAAGTTACTTGATGATTTGCAGAATATGGACAAAGTAGATGATACATTATTTTTTTCAGGAATGATTCCTTTTGCTTTTCTTGAAGATATTTAACAAAAGTTTGTGAGGACTTATCATCGAGCAGTATTATCAGCCCAAGCTTATGACATGAATGATGAATTTTCAAGGGTTCTTAACCAAAAAATAGAGTACTAATCGAACGATTGTAATGCAAATAGGATAAACCGTATAAAAGGTGAAATGAGCCAGCTCAGAAGCTTCTTCTTCTATAATTGAAATCATATATTTTTAATCATTTCTGCATATATTCAGATCCCCCATTAACCGATATTCTAAACCATTTAAGTTTTTATAATAGTAATGTCCTGTAAATAAGAAAATTATCAATTAATTTGAAATATTGAATCAATATAATTGATATCTTTCTTTTTTCCAGCTAAATATCTGAAAATCTCCTATATGATGTCTTAGGATCCCTGCTTTTTTTGGAAATAATGGTTTCCTTATTCAAAAACACCTATATATATATGATTACATTAAAATTGTTGTTCTCATGATTTTGGATTGAGGCATAAGATTTCCAGTGGTCTTCTTCAGCGGTCTTCTTCTCCAAAAAAATTTCTAGGTTCTTTCTTTACTCTGGATCTCTTTCTTCTTCTCCAATTTCTTGCATTTACTATGTTCTTATTACCTGTTATCACTTTATATTCATGTTGAGAATTCATGAAAAATAAATAATCAACATTCTTTAAACATCTTACTTTCCTTACTCCTTCTGTGAACGTTCCCTACTCCAGCAAGTAAAAATCCAATAATGGTGTCCTACATTAGATTTAAACTATTATTATAGGAACTTTGAAACACATCAATATTCTTAAACTGATGATAAATTAACCATGGCTCTTTGTATACAAAATTACACATGGAATGGCAAATAGTACGATTCTATAATACATTATAACCTAAATTACAATTTATATTCTCAAACTATGTTCATAAAATATGACATTTTTAATAAAAAAAATTCAAAATTTTAATCCAGAAAAAACAAACAAGAACCTTACATGTCCATTATGGTAATGTTCTTTCAAGAAAGAAATTATAAAAAACAAATGGGTTAGTGACCATCGGATTATGTCATGTATGACATGATACCACATCTAATAGCATTGTACTTTATAAAAATTGGTCTTTAACAATTTTCCATAAGAAAGTATATTGTTTTGTTGTGTGTGATTGATTTGCCTCTGAAGTTCTACATCTTTTATAGAGAAAACAAAAAAAAAAGAAAAAAAAACTTCAAAACAATGCAATAAATAGCATTGTATTTTCAAAATAAAATTGAGTTTTGCCTATTTTGCCCTTACTCTAAAAACTACTTTTATAAATTTTCTTGAAATATCAACTTACTTCCTATATTTACTTTGAATATTGACCATTTATTAACACAATTTACATAGTAAATTTAGGTATACTTACTATAACAATGACCAATCTTGTAAATCCACTTGAACAGAGACCATTTTTGTAAAAATATTATAGCAGAGACCATTACTGTAGATTTACTATATCAGAGATCATTCTGGTAAACATACTTGAAAAGAGACCATTCATCATACTAACACCTTCTAATGTTGATTTGATATATATTCCGAAGAATATTTAGTGATATATGCACCTTCTATTATTAATTATTTCAACTTGTATGCATCGAGACTTATCAAGTTTAACGGAAAATTGAAATATTTTTTCTATAAGTGGAGATCGTTTGTGGGTTATTTGGCTTTTCATTTAGAATCGGTGGTTTAAAGTAGATATTATAATTACGGTGCATGTGCAAATGAATGGTTGGATTATCAAAAAAATCTCCTTTATTTCTTTAAAGGAAATACAATTGAGTATGCCATTCCGGCACATCGTTCTCATGAAGTATTTTCATTTCGTTCAGATTTTGAAATAGTGACTATGCCAAGTAGAAATATGTGATTGTATATATTTTAAATTGCATTCAAAAACCATTGTTTTTTCTCATGATGATATTTACTATTTTATATTTGTTTGTGATTGACTACTTTGTTTTTTTTTTTTTTTAATTTATAGTTTTAATCGTCAAGTCATGTTTTATTTTGTTTTATGATATTAATTTTTTTAATATATGTGTTTCGATTTTTAATGGTACTGAATGTTATTTTATTTAGCAATATGTGTGTTGATTGCAATTGTTGTTTTTGAAAAATAGCAATGTTCTATTCCTTTTTTTCTAGTAATAGGGATGTAGTTTTTATATCAACTTAATTGACTTAATTGACTGATATAGAATCATCAATTTATCGTTTTTACTTAAACATAGTGCAATTACATATGTATTGACATTATTAATGGCTATTATAAAAAACTTTATACATATGAAATGAATGATTTTTCTTTCATCATGCATCTAATAGTTAGAAAATGAAGGACACTTATAGTGCATATTATGGATCTTTTTAATCTCTCCCCACATGTTTCCATTCAATAAGTAGAAACAATGTTTTCTACACTACAGGTGACCATATTCATTCAATTGTATCGACCATTTATCCGTCTTTTGAAAACTGTCTTGATATTGTGTCGGCTTTTTATACCTTTATATATATATATATATATATAATATATATATATATATATATATATATATATATTATGCTTCCCCACATTTTACACGGGTTATAATCTAGTAATTCAATATATATAACGAGAATATAAAGGCCATAAAGAAACTTATTAGATCATGTCAGATTGCCAATCATTGCATCAAAATCCACAATTCGCATCAAATGCAATAAACTCGATCATTCAAATTCATCAATAAAAATTTGAATCAAACTGCATGTATGGATTGATAGAGTTAACTGAACATTAACTTGCCCCAGATGCAATGGAGAGATCAATAGATCTGTAACATCCATGAAATTCATGAAAATTTAAAACTTTTTCAAGCATTCAAAAAACCATTATTTAGTACAAAATGTTTTCAAAATAGTTTCATATCAAAGTATCACAGAAATCAAAATCATAAAATGTAAGGATTGTGAACACATAAACATACACTTACACACATACACACTCACAGTTTTAATGATGATGGTGGTTGGATTTCATCCAAAACAATATGCATGTTGTAGATGGTGAAGTCCTATGACCTAAACCTAAGTTAAAATCATGGAAATGCACTTTTCTTCACGTTTTGGTGGAAAAACACCACATGCATCCAAAGTTTTCTTTCAAAAACGATTTTTGAACATTTCAAACTCATGAATGGTCTTCCGTAGAAGAGTTTAATCGAGTTTTTGAAGAAAATCTGAGTAAATATGAATACAAGAAGTAAATAAGTTCTGGTTTAAGCTCCCATTACT